GCTGCTCCCCATTTTCTGTGGCCGTTTGTGGTTCAGTACGCAGCGCATCAGCTCAACCTTCAGCCCCGGGTCTCCTTGCCAGAGACCTCCCCCACCTTGCGGTGGACGGGGAAGGTTGGCGATGCGTCTGCGTTTCGGGTCTGGGGATCTCGGGCGTTTGTCCGCGACTTGTCTGCGGACAAGCTGTCCCCCCGTGCTGTTCCGTGCGTCTTCCTTGGCTTCCCCCCTGACGCGCCTGGTTGGCAGTTTTACCACCCCACCTCGCGCCGTGTTCTGTCCTCCCAGGACGTCACCTTTGACGAGTCGGTGCCTTACTACCGTCTCTTCCCCTACCGCACTGCGCCCCTCCCCCCGCCGCCGCTCTTCCTTGCACCAGGTCCTCCCCCGTTAGACCCTCTCCCCCCTCAGGGTCCTGCCCCGTCAGGTGTGTCCCAGGTAGACGCAGTCGAGCCTGTCGAGGTAGCTGTTGACTCTGGTGCTAAGTCTAGGGGTGCTGAGCCTGCGGGTGCCGGGTCTGGGAGTGCTGAGCCTGGGGGTGCGGAGCCTGGGGGTGCTGAGCCTGGGGGTGCGGAGCCTGGGGGTGCGGAGCCTGGGGGTGCTGGGTCTGCTCGTGTGGCCTCTGGCGGTGCTTCGTCGAGGCGGGAGCCACCCTCTCCGCAGGAGCTGCGCGAGTGGTTTGCCCGGCGCTGGAGCCGTGCTGCTGGAGCTGGAGGTGCTACTGTTACTGCTGGTCCTGGAGATGCTCGTACTGGCGGTACTGGAGCTGCTGGGACTGGGGGTGCTGCTGGGGTTACTGGAGTTGGTCCTGCTGGAGGTACTGCTGGAGCTGCTGGCGGTACTGGAGCTGACGGTCCTGCTGGAGCTGGAGCTGCTAGAGCTGCTGGAGCTGGAGCAGCTGGGGGTGTTGGCGCTGGAGGTGCTGCTGGCGCTGGTACTTCTGAGGGTGCTGGAGTTGGCGCTGTTGGAGCTGGAGGTGCTGCTGGCGCTGGTGCTGCCGCTGGGGGTACTGGTGCTGTCCCTGCTGGTTCTGGAGGCGCTGCGCGGCCGCGGCCGTACTTCGTTCCGCTCCTTGAGCAGGTTCTTGGTCTCCCGCCCTCTACTGGTCCTGCTCCTCCCTTAGAGTGTCCACAGCCTGTCCAGTCGCGGTCACAGTTACAGCCCGCCTCCCCCCTGCCTGCTCCTTCTCCCTACACTGGTCCTACTGGAGGTCTTGCTGAGCGTCGCGAGCCTGCGTCTCGTCCTGCGTCGCCTGTTCGTGCTGCTCGTAGTAGTAGTCGTGCTCCGTGTCCGCGTCCTCCTGTGGTCCCAGGCACACACCAGATGGCATTGCGTCCTTCCACTGCTCCTCTGCGTATCCCGTTGCCGTCTCCTCCAGAGTCCTCTCTTCCTGTCCTTGCTGACCCGGAGTCTGACTCTCTTCGTGCTGCCAGTCCTACTGTCACGCGTCTCCTGGCTACTGTTGTCACTGACCCTTCCTTTGAGTCCACTGCTGCGTCTGCCTTGGTTGCTGAGCTTGTCGACTTTGCTGCTCGCTGTCGTCTAGACTACGCTGCTAGTCTTGTTGCTGAGTCTGAGTCTGTCTGTCCTCCGTCCGTCGGGGGTGAGTGTGCTTGAGGACAGGCAGGAGGAGTTCCAGTGTTTTGCTGCTGCTTTGCCTCATCTCGTGTCCACGCTGATTGCCCCTGAGGGAGACCCAGATGCACCAGACATCCCGACTCCTCGATCGTACGCTGAGGCGATCGAGGGTCCCTACTCCTCACAGTGGCAGTCAGCCATGGACGCAGAGATGGCTTCCTGGAAGTCCACAGGCACTTACGTCGACGAGGTTCCCCCACCTGGGGCGAACATCGTCAGTGGCATGTGAATTTTCAGGGTGAAGCGGCCGCCGGGTTCTCCGCCTGTCTTCAAGGCGCGTTACGTGGCTCGAGGCTTCAGTCAGCGGCAGGGAGTTGACTACTTTCAGACCTTCTCTCCCACCCCGAAGATGACCACTCTTCGGGTGCTGCTGCACATAGCCGCTCAGCGCGACTACAAGCTTCACTCTCTTGACTTCAGCACAGCTTTCCTGCAGGGCAGCCTGCACGAGGAGATCTGGCTGCGCCGCCCACCTGGCTTCACTGGGTCGTTTCCCCCTGGTACCCAGTGGAGCCTCTGGCGGCCAGTCTACGGTCTCCGCCAGGCGCCCCGTGAGTGGCACGACACACTGAGGACTACACTTGCGACTCTTGGGTTTGCTCCTTCTACTGCCGACCCGTCGCTGTTTCTGCGCACCGACACCTCTTTGCCGCCGTTCTACATCCTCGTGTACGTCGACGACTTGGTCTTTGCCACTGCTGACACTGCTGGACTTGCCCACGTGAAGTCCGAGCTGCAGAAGAGACACACGTGCACAGACCTGGGTGAACTGCGCAGCTACCTTGGCTTGCAGATCACCCGGGACAGAGCACAGCGCACCATTACCCTGACTCAGTCACACATGGTACAACAGGTCCTTCAGCGCTTCGACTTCACGTACTCCTCACCTCAGGCCACTCCTCTGTCTACTCGCCACTCGCTCTCAGCTCTGCCTTCGGATGAGTCCGTAGAGCCGAGTGGCCCGTACCCAGAGCTTGTTGGCTGCCTCATGTACCTGATGACCTGCACACGACCTGACCTTGCATACCCTCTTAGCATCTTGGCACGCTATGTTGCTCCTGGGAGACACCGACCAGAGCTCATGGCTGCAGCGAAGAGGGTGTTGCGCTACTTGTGCAGTACGTCAGGCATGGGGCTAGTGCTTGGAGGGCGACGTCGAGTGGTCCTCACAGGTCACGCAGACGCTTCTTGGGCTGACGACCAGGCTACGCAGCGGTCGTCACAGGGTTACACCTTCAGCCTTGGTTCCGGCTCTGTTTCGTGGCGGTCTACCCGCTCGTCTTCTGTTCTCGGCTCCAGCTGTGAGGCTGAGATCTACGCGGGGGCCATGGCTGCACAGGAGCTACGTTGGCTCACCTACCTGCTGACTGACCTAGGAGCGCCGCCTCGTTCTCCTCCAGTTCTGTACGTAGACAACAAGGCCATGCTGGCCTTGTGTCGGGAGCACAGACTGGAGCACAGAACGAAGCACATTGCTCTTCGCTACTTCCTTGCTCGTGAGCTGCAGCAGCGTGGTCAGCTGCGCCTTGCTTACGTGGCCTCTGAGGCCAACACTGCTGATATCTTTACCAAGGCACTTCCGCCTTGTGATCATCAGCGCTTCTGTACGATGCTAGGTCTTGTGCCTACTTGGCCTCACTTGCTCACTTCTTGACCTTGCTTGTACTGTGATCTTTCTATACCTGCACTTGCTTGTTTACCTTTATATATGATTTTGCATGTGAACTGGCCTTGTGGCCTTGAACTTGTGCTCGGAATGTGTGGTGACGTTGTGATCCACCCTGAGCTTGATTTGCTTTGCTTGACTGGTCTTGTGACCTCTTGTTCTCCCCCACTTTGCCTATGGGGGTGTGTCAAACTTATATGCTATAGTCTGTGTAGGCTGTAGTGGGGTAGTTCATATGGGGCACAACACTTTAGGGTTTCCTACTTGTACTCCTCATGCTGCTCAATGCAATCATTCCTCATTTCTTCACAAGTGGGTCGTCATCCGTACTTGTCATTCTCTTGTGAAAACATCATCACACGCTTTGTTAGCAAAATTCCTGTGTTACCGCATGAAAGATATTCTGCTCTCTTCTCAACATTTGAATGCACAAGCGATCAAGGACGCATGTCTTACCTAGGATGCACGCTGGAGCATGTCCTAGACCCAAGGGTGTCTTGCATACATTGCGACGCACTGTTTCTCCTGTCCACATTCCATACTTCGACTTCCTGCGAATTATGCAAACCAGTTTTTGTGGCAATTGGTCATTAGCCACGATCTCGAAAAGCACTATGCCACTTGAATGTTGAGATCTATTTCCTACCAATCACTGCAAGTAGCGCCTGCAGCCTACCCTTCCTCAATCATTTCATCATCACATGACTAGACTCGACAGGGGTTGACAAGGAACGACCGCAACCACCAAATTTGGTAACCAGCAACCCCGCGTTAGCCCCTTTGGTCCGCAACTACCTATCCCGGAATCGGAACATTTTGGTTACTACACATTCATCTACATCCATGTACAATCTGTTATTGCATGGCCACAATATGCATATCCGGTGACAGCTGTCGGAATACAGCCTCAGCATTGCCACCTGTTTTTCTTCCTGCCACCGCGTTGTCATCTTTCTTTATATGTTGTGTGGTTAGGCTTAGTCAATACCTGCCCCTTCAAGCGCCGTGCTCGTGCTGTCAAGTAACGTGACAAAAGATTGCTTCATCCCAGTATGAATTTCCTTATCCGTGGGTGAACCAAGAAATAGCTACACAACTGTTAGCATATGAAAAAACATATTCTGAGGAACATTGTTCCAGATTGAGACATAAGATGGTGCTCAGGCATGGTAAGCTATGTCTGAAAGAAAGAATTCAAGCTCCATTAACTCCATGCCACGCTCTTGTGCCCAAACTCTAATGGCACTTTGCAATGTATAACTAGGTACTTACTCCATGTTCTAAAGAAGCGACCCTACCATTATCAGATTAGATTGCTAGCAGAATAATGTCACAGTTCGACCATTTGCAAAATGAAAAAGAAACGTAACGGAAGTGTGAATCTCTCACTTGTACTGATACAAAGGCAAGTACGATGACCTTCACTAATCCACTAGCTGATGGAGGTCCTCTCATAAGTTGGTCCTCTCGTTAGCTTGCAATGGGGAGGATAGAGAAATCCACGAGGTGGGTCGTCATCCATGCTTCTCCTTTTCGTGTGATAATATCATCACGTATTTTGTTAGCATAAATCCAGTGTGACTGCATAAAAGAGTTCTTACCTTATTATGCCAAAAACATGTTCTGGTGTGTCATCAGTAACGGTGCTTTTCCCGTAGTAGCAGAAAGGGTATCAACAAAGGGCAAAGACACAACATCATTAGTACAAGGAGGAGATACCTACACCAGTGGACTTAGCATCAACAGCACCTGCAGCAGGGGGAAGGATACCAGCAGATGTAGAACGAGGGGTGTCATCAGATGAATCTACAGCAACACTAGCAGTAGAGGGGGAAACAATAGCAGCAGTGGATGCAACCAGGATGCGAGGAAACATGTAGGAGCATGAACAACAACAAGGGGGCTAGCAATAGCAGTAGGGCACTCAACAGAAGAATCTATATCCAACATTTTTAAGAATTACCACAAATGTTGTCCGGATCCGTTTGCGCATGCTGACACAACACAATTTATAAAGTCAAATGCCTGACCTAGAAGAGGCTAGAACGAAACCACATGAAAGAGGTCCGCATGTTGGCTCACCTCTGAAAAATCAGCGACATCAAACTCAAAAGGCAGGGCAGCAACAAGAAGTAGAGCAACAGAGACGGCAATAACAAAGAGGGCAACGACAGAGACCGCAACAACAGAGACGACAACCGTAGCCAGGGCAGAAAACATGGTAGCGTGCATGGTAGCAGCAGGCATCAAGCTAGGCAACAGAATGTAGGGCAACAATAAGCAGGGCAGCAGTAAGCAGGGGGGCATCAGGCAAGGCAGCAACATGCAAGGCAACAACATGCATGGCAGTAGTAGGGATGGCAGCGAGAAACAATGCAGCATCAAGCAGGGCAGCACTAGGTAGATCAGCAGCATTCGAGAAAGCAGCAGGCAGGGCAGCTGCACGTAGGACTGTTGCAAGCAGGGCAACATCAAGTAGGGCAGCAACAAGCAGGGCGGCAGTAGGTGAGGCCGCAACAGGCAAGTCAGCAGTGGGGATGGCGGCAGCAACAAAAATAGCAACAGGCATGGCATCAACAAGCTGGGAAGCAGCAGGTAGAGCATCAAGTAGGGCACCAGCAGGCATGTCAAGAGCGTGGATGTCAGAAGCAAGCAGGACAGCAACAAGTAGGGCAGAACCAAGTAGGGCATTAATAGGCATGGTAGAAGCAAGCAGATTGGATGTGGCAGGCATGGGAGCAACAAGCAGATTAGATGAGGTAGGCATGGCAGCAGCAAGGGGGGAAGCAACAGGCAAGGCAGTCGCATGCAAGGCAGCAATAGGTAGGGAAGCCACATATAGGTTAGCAACATACAAGGTAGCAGCAAGGGGGGCAACAGCAGACAGGGCAGCAGCAGGCGGTGCAACAGTGCGCATGGCAGCATCAGGTGGGTATACAATGGTAGGGTATTAAAATCCTTATGTAGGAGCCAGCGTTTTTCGCATCTTATTCTACGGGTGGCATGGATAGAGGGGTTGGAACGCTTCGAGAAGGGTTGTACTGGTAGTAACCTTGGATGATTCCCATGCAGTCATACATAAATTAGCTGTGACCGTCATATGGAAGGTCAACCTAGATTACACTTCTATGTGGATGGTGGTGAATCTGCGATATGTGTTGTAGGTGGACGTGGCAAAACTGGAATCTTGGAGGAATAGGCCAAACAGCATGATCAACCCCGCTACCGAGCTAAGTTGTATATGTTGATAGTAAAATTTAGATCAGCACGATAATCGCAGTAGTGCGCGTTAAAGTAACATTAAGGGTTTTCAAAACATGCCTTTGTAAACATGTGCAATTTGTGAAGAAATGAGGAATGAATGAACTAGCACAAGATTGGGTACAAGTAGGAAACCCTAGGAAACTGTACCCCATAGTGTCTACCCCACTATAGCCTAGACAAGCTATATGATAAATGTTTGACACACCCCCATAGGCAAAGTGGGGGAGAACAAGGGGTCACAAGACCAGTCAAGCAAAGCAAAGCAAGCTCAGGGTGGATCACAACGTCACCACACAATCCGAGCACAAGAGCAAGGCCACAAGGCCAGTTCACATGCAAGATCATATATAAAGGTAAACAGGCAAGTGCAGGTATAGAAAGATCACAGTACAAGCAAGGTCAAGAAGTGAGCAAGTGAGGCCAAGTAGGCACAAGACCTAGCATCAAACAGAAGCGCTGATGATCACAAGGCGGAAGTGCCTTGGTAAAGATATCAGCAGTGTTGGCCTCAGAGGCCACGTAAGCAAGGCGCAGCTGACCACGCTGCTGCAGCTCACGAGCAAGGAAGTAGCGAAGAGCAATGTGCTTCGTTCTGTGCTCCAGTCTGTGCTCCCGACACAAGGCCAGCATGGCCTTGTTGTCTACGTACAGAACTGGAGGAGAACGAGGCGGCGCTCCTAGGTCAGTCAGCAGGTAGGTGAGCCAACGTAGCTCCTGTGCAGCCATGGCCCCCGCGTAGATCTCAGCCTCACAGCTGGAGCCGAGAACAGAAGACGAGCGGGTAGACCGCCACGAAACAGAGCCGGAACCAAGGCTGAAGGTGTAACCCTGTGACGACCGCTGCGTAGCCTGGTCGTCAGCCCAAGAAGCGTCTGCGTGACCTGTGAGGACCACTCGACGTCGCCCTCCAAGCACTAGCCCCATGCCTGACGTACTGCACAAGTAGCGCAACACCCTCTTCGCTGCAGCCATGTGCTCTGGTCGGTGTCTCCCAGGAGCAACATAGCGTGCCAAGATGCTAAGAGGGTATGCAAGGTCAGGTCGTGTGCAGGTCATCAGGTACATGAGGCAGCCAACAAGCTCTGGGTACGGGCCACTCGGCTCTACGGACTCATCCGAAGGCAGAGCTGAGAGCGAGTGGCGAGTAGACAGAGGAGTGGCCTGAGGTGAGGAGTACGTGAAGTCGAAGCGCTGAAGGACCTGCTGCACCATGTGTGACTGAGTCAGGGTAATGGTGCGTTGTGCTCTGTCCTGGGTGATCTGCAAGCCAAGGTAGCTGCGCAGTTCACCCAGGTCTGTGCACGTGTGTCTCTTCTGCAGCTCGGACTTCACGTGGGCGAGTCCAGCAGTGTCAGCAGTGGCAAAGACCAAGTCGTCGACGTACACGAGGATGTAGAACGGCGGCAAAGAGGTGTCGGTGCGCAGAAACAGCGACGGGTCGGCTGTAGAAGGAGCAAACCCAAGAGCCGCAAGTGTAGTCCTCAGTGTGTCGAGCCACTCACGGGGCGCCTGGCGGAGACCGTAGACTGGCCGCCGGAGACTCCACTGGGTACCAGGAGGAAACGACCCAGTGAAGCCAGGTGGGCGGCGCAGCCAGATCTCCTCGTGAAGGCTGCCCTGTAGGAAAGCTGTGCTGAAGTCAAGAGAGTGAAGCTCGTAGTCGCGCTGAGCGGCTATGTGCAGCAGCACCCGAAGAGTGGTCATCTTCGGGGTGGGAGAGAAGGTCTGAAAGTAGTCAACTCCCTGCCGCTGACTGAAGCCTCGAGCCACGTAACGCGCCTTGAAGACAGGCGGAGAACCCGGCGGCCGCTTCACCCTGAAAATCCACATGCCACTGACGATGTTCGCCCCAGGTGGGGGAACCTCGTCGACGTAGGTGCCTGTGGACTTCCAGGAAGCCATCTCTGCGTCCATGGCTGACTGCCACTGAGAGGAGTAGGGACCCTCGATCGCCTCAGCGTACGATCGAGGAGTCGGGATGTCTGGTGCATCCGGGTCTCCCTCAGGGGCAATCAGCGTGGACACGAGATGAGGCAAAGCAGCAGCAAAATACTGGAACTCCTCCTGCCTGTCCTCAAGGACGTCCGTGCTAAGAGCACACTCACCCCCAACGGACGGAGGACAGACAGACTCAGACTCAGCAACAAGACTAGCGGCGTAGTCTAGACGACAGCGAGCAGCAAAGTCGACAAGCTCAGCAACTAGGGCCGACGCAGCAGTGGACTCAAAGGAAGGGTCAGTGACAACAGTAGCCAGGAGACGCGTGACAGTAGGACTGGCAGCACGAAGAGAGTCAGAGTCCGGGTCAGGGAGAACAGGAAGAGAGGACTCTGGAGGAGACGGCAACGGGACACGCAGAGGAGCAGTGGAAGGACGCAGTGCCATCTGGTGTGTGCCTGGGACTGCAGGAGGACGCGGACGCGGAGCACGACCACTAGTGCGAGCAGCACGAACAGACGACGCAGGACGAGACGCAGGCTCACGACGTTCAGCAAGACCTCCAGTAGGACCAGTGTAGGGAGAAGGAGCAGGCAGGGGGGAGGCGGGCTGTAACTGTGACTGCGACTGGACAGGCTGTGGACACTCTAAGGGAGGAGCAGGACCAGTAGAGGGCGGGAGACCAAGAACCTGCTCAAGGAGCGGAACGAAGTACGGCCTCGGCCGCGCAGCGCCTCCAGAACCAGCAGGGACAGCACCAGTACCCCCAGCGGCAGCACCAGCGCCAGCAGCACCTCCAGCTCCAACAGCGCCAACTCCAGCACCCTCAGACGCACCAAAGCCAGCAGAACCACCAGCGCCAACACCCCCAGCAGCTCCAGCTCCAGCAGCTCCAGCAGCTCCAGCAGCACCAACTCCAGCAGGACCGGCAGCTCCAGTACCGCCAGTAGCTCCAGCAGTACCTCCAGTAGGACCAACTCCAGAAGCCCTAGCAGCACCCCCAGTCCCAGCAGCTCCAGTACCGCCAGTACGAGCACCTCCGGGACTAGCAGCAACGAAAGCAACGCCAGCTCCAGCAGCACGGCTCCAGCGCCGGGCAAACCACTCGCGCAGCTCCTGCGGAGAGAGTAGCTCCCGCCTCGACGAAGCACCGCGAGAGGCCACACGAGCAGACCCAGTACCCCCAGGCTCCGCACCCCCAGGCTCCGCACCCCTGGACTCAGCACGCCCAGGCTCAGCACCCCCAGGCTCAGCACCCCCAGACTCAGCACCCCCAGACTCAGCACCCCCAGGCTCAGCACCCCCAGGCTCCGCACCCCTGGACTCAGCACCCCCAGGCTCCGCACCCTCAGGCTCAGCACCTCCAGAGCCGGCACCCGCAGGCTCAGCACCTCTAGCAGCACCAGAGTCAACAGCTACCTCGATAGGCTCGACTGCGTCTACCTGGGACACACCTGACGGGGCAGGACCCTGAGGGGGGAGGGGGTCTACCGGGGGAGGACCTGGCGCAAGGAAGAGCGGCGGTGGGGGGAGGGGCGCAGTGCGGTAGGGGAAGAGACGGTAGTAAGGCACCGACTCATCAAAGGTGACGTCCTGGGAGGACAGAACACGGCGCGAGGTGGGGTGGTAAAACTGCCACCGAGTCGCGTCAGGGGGGAAGCAGGGAACAGCACGGGGGGACAGCTTGTCCGCAGACAAGTCGCGGACAAACGCCCGAGATCCCCAGACCCGAAACGTAGACGCATCGCCAACCTTCCCCGTCCACCGCAAAGTGGGGGAGGTCTCTGGCAAGGAGACCCGGGGCTGAAGGTTGAGCTGATGCGCTGCGTACTGAACCGCAAACGGCCACAGAAAATGGGGGGCAGCCGCATGGATCATGGACGTACGCGCGACGTCCATGACCATGCCAATGCGGCGCTCAGCAATCCCATTTTGCTGTGGAGAGGCCGGAAGCGTGAAGGTCTGGCGGATGCCCTGTGCACGACAGAAGGCTCCCAGACGGGCAGAGGAAAACTCCCCGCCTCTGTCAGAGTGCAGACGCAGAACAGGAAAGTCCGAGCCGAAACTCTCTCTGAGCTGGAGACGAGCTGCGCGGATCCAGTCGATCAACACCTCAGTGACGTCACCCTTGCTGCGCAAGGGGAACACCGTGGTGTAACGCGAGTAGTCGTCAACCACCAACAGGAAGTAACGCTCGTGACCCTGGCCACGGACGCGGGCGGGGCCCCACACGTCCATGTGAAGAGTCTGCAGCGGAGCCTCTGTCGGAGGAAACTCGGAGGAGTGAGGGGCGGCGCGCTGTCGCCCCTCGACGCAAGGGACGCAGGTAGGGGCAGGCCCCGGAGGTAGGGGAGGTAGGGACCGGGGAAGACCAGAGACAAGGACACGTGAGGCCATGCCTCGGAGACGAGGCAGGGAGGGGTGACCAAGGCGGTGGTGCCAAAGGAGAGTCTGGTGGGACAGGAGACGACACGAGCAGGGCGCAGACTCAGGACCAGACCTGGACGCTGCAGCAAACACCTGACTCGACGCAGCTACCTGACCAGACTCAGCAACCGGAGGAGACTCAGTAGTCAGTGTGTACAGGCTCGACCCCGGCCGACGGGTAAACGTGGCCAAGTGTCGGCCCGTCCGAGCACACGTGCAGTGGGTCATCCTGTAGATTAGCTCCACTCACCAAGTTCGTAGAGAACGAGGGGAGTTAGAGACCTGACA